ACCCTAGACACCAAGGTATTTTGTCATAGTGGAAGCAGTAGTAGCAATGGAAGTTGGCTGGAGATTAAAATTCTGAGGCAGTGAAACATTCCTCTCAAATTACAGAAGGAGTAGTCTTAAGAAGATGGAGTAAACCACTATTTCTCTCTCTCTCTCTCTCTGGCTTCTGATTACTTAGCTCCAAAAAGGTTTCAAAGAAAGTATGCAACAGAATGGGGTAAATAATGCTTGCTGACTGGAGAACTGGAAAAGTAGAGCCTCAGGGATCCAAAAATTATTGAGGATATGATGAGGGAAAATGTGGAAAAGTAATCTCTTAAAGTTGTTTATGAACTTTTGGATTGCCTCTGAGCTGCACATGTATGGGTCTAACCCTAAACATATTACATAGACTTTGAGTACTGAAGTATGGGACTGACTACCACCCAAGTCCCATATTGGATACTAGGTGGTATACATGAGTGATAGATACAAATAACACTTCTCAAAGGGTATAAAACCCACAGAAATCTTGTAGAACTTGGAACTTGTGGTTCAGATCTAATTGGGGCAACTGCTTTCTAAAACATAAAACGACTCATTTACTGAGATTATACGTGAACCACAGTCTCAAAATACAGCATACCAAACATCCCAAACATCTAGGATACAGTCCAAAATTGCTTAACATAAAAAAAAAAAAAAAAAAGAAAAAAAATCTCAATAGTAATGCTGGGATAAAAGAGATATCAAAATTATCTGACAAACACTTAAAAATAGTTATAAATATTCTTCAACAAATAAAAGGAACATTCTTGAAATATATAGAGAAATACAAGTTTCAGTAAAGTAATAGAGGATAAAACCCACAGCCATTGAGTTGGATCCCACTCATAGTGACCCCTTCTTGGGTTTCCAAGGCAGTATCACTATGGAAGTAGATTGCCCAACCTTCCTTTTGAGGAGTGGCTGGTGGATTTGAACCACCAGCCTTTTGGTTAGCAGTCAAATGCCTTAGGCACTACACCACCACAGCTCCTGAGGACACGAATAAGAACCAAATGGAAATGTTAGAAATGAAAAATCCAACAAATGAAGTAATTTTTACTGGATGGGCTCAATTAACAGAATGGAGATAGATAGAGGAAGAGTCAGAAGATTTGAGTGTAGATCCATATAAATCATCTAATTTGAACATCAGATAGAAAAAAAATTGAAAAAGAAAATGTACAGAACCTCAGAGATTTGTGGGAAATAACAAAAGGTCTAATATTCATATCATCTGAATTCCAGAAGGAGAGGAGAAAAGCATGGAGCAAAACAGTATTTTTTAAAAAATAATGACAGAAAGTATAGTTTACTTAAGAGTTTATAGGTAAAAAAAAATAACATGATCATATCAATTGATGCAAAAAATGCATTTGATAAAATTCAACATCTATTAATGTTAAAACTCCCAGTAAATTAGATAGAGAAGAAGGGAATTTCCTCCACCTGATAAAGGGCATCTATAAAAATTTATAGTTAACATCATACTTAATGGTGAAATGCTTAATGCGTTCCTTCTAAGATCAAAAACAAGGCAAGAATGTCATCTTTCACGACTCATATTTAAACTTTTACTGGAAGTCCTAAGTAGTTCAATGAGGCAAGAAAAATAAATAAAAATTATATAGATTGGAAGTGAAGAAATAAAGATATCTTAATTCAGAAACAACATGAATCTATGTATAAAATCTCAAGAAATACTTATACACATACACACACATCTTAATTATTTGCTAAAGAAATTAATTTAGCAAAATTGTAGAATACAAGGCCAAGACACAAAAATCAATCATCTCTATATACTAGCAATGAACAAATGGAAACTGAAAATTTAAAAATTGTAATACTCAAAAAGCCCTTAAATATAAATCTAATAAAAACATGTGTAAGATCTAGCTCAAAACTACACAATATTAATGAAAGAATTTAAAGAGGCTCAAATAAATGGAAAGTCATACTGAGATTATGGATTGGAAGACATAGGATTGATTTATAGATTTAACATGATACCAATCAAAATCCCTTATGATGTCTTATAGAGATAAGATGCTTAAATTATATGGAAAGGTAAAGGAAATAGATTAGCTGAAGCAATTTTGGAAAGACTCAATATAAAGCTATAGTAATCAAGATGATGTGATATTAGCAAAGGAATAGACATATTTAGCAATGAAACAGAACAAAGTCAAGAAATAGATTTTCACAAAAATACTCAATTGATTTTTGATAAACTGTAAAGATAATTCAATGGAGGAACAGATCTTGTTGAAACAACTGGGAATTCATAAACATTTATGCATAAAAGTAAACCTTAACCTGAATCTCACACTTTATACAAAAGTCAATTCAAAATGGGTCATAGAAGAACATAGGAAAAAGTTTTCATGATCTAGGGTCATCAAAGAGCTCTTAGAAATGCCACCAAAAGCATGATCCATGAAAGAACAAAATGATAAACTGGATTTCACCAAAATTTAAAAAAAACAACAACTTTTCTTAGCAAAATGCAATGTTCAGAGAATAAAAATGTAAGAACAGACTGGAAGAAAATATTAGCAAAGCACATAGCTGACAAAGGATTTATATTCAGAAAATATAGAGGACTCCCAAATCTCTACCATGGCAAATAAACAACCAAATTTAAAATTAAGCAAAAGATATGAATGGTCATTTCACCAAAGAGAAAATACAGATGGCAAATAGTAACAACATGTTTTCAACATCACTAGTCATTATGAAGTCAAATGAAATTTAAAGTCATGATAAAATACTATTACACACCTTTTAAAAGAGCTAAAATTAAAAAGAAAGAAAGAAATACCAAATGTTGGTGAGGATGTGAAGAAACTGGAACTCTCATACATTGCTGGTGGGAATGCAAAATGGTACAGCACTCTGGAAAACAGTTTGGCAGTTTCTCATAAAGTTAAACACACACTTAACATATGACACAGCAAACCCACTCCTATGTATTTAGACCAAGAAAAAAAATTCATGTTCACACAAATGTCTACAACAATTCTGTTCATAATATCCCAAAACTGGAAATATATTTTTTTTTTAAACTGGAAACAATTGAAACCTCCTTCAATGAGTGAACAGATAAACAAATCATGCTACATTCATAGAATAGAGTATCGTCGTTGTTAGGTGCTGACAAGTCAGCTCTGACTCATTGTGACTCTATGTACAACAGGGAGACACAACCAGTTTCTGTGCCATTCTCACTCAGCAATAAAAAGTAACAAACTTTTGACAGACACAACTTAGACAGATTCTAAAATTATTATGCTTCATGAAAGAGGCCTGCTTCAAAAGATCAGGTTTTGTATCACTTCTTTTATATAATATTCTTGAAAAGGAATAAAACTAAAATGACAGAAAACAGAGCAAAGGTTGCCAGGTGGTAGGGTTGGGGAGGCCATGGTATAATGGAGAGCAGGAGGGAGTATTTTCAAGGTGATGAGTCCATTCTGTATTCTGAGAGTGGTAGTAATAATGCAAATCTATATATGTGGTAAAATTCAGAGAGCTGAACACAAAAATTTAATTTTACTTTATGCTAATTTAAAAAATAAAATTAAAGAAAAAAGTAAAAGGGATGATGACTCCTTCCTATTTAATGTTATCTAAATACTAAAAGCACCAATGTGACAGTAGCAACAAAAACCATCATCTTCCACTATTTTTTTAGCACCTGAAACATGCTGGTCACTTTACTAGCATTCTACATACACCAGTTCTAATATTCACAATCATTCTGTAGAGTGGGTTATATTTAATTTATAGAAAAAGAACTGAAGTTCAAGGTAGTAAACTAATTTGCCCTACATCTCATGGCCAGTAAGCAGCTGAGTCTGGATTTGAACTCAGGTCTGACTGCCAACCTCATTTCAAATCCATGCTGCTGCTCACTTAAATGAATGAAATCAGTGGAAAGTGGCAGGGAGACATGATATCATGTGAATAGCAGGAAGTGACAATCATACTTTTATTCACATATATTACAAAAATTCTCTAAACATTTTTTATTCAAACACTTGAATTTGTTTGAAATTGTGGGATTTTCAGGATATTTACAAACTTGATATTGCCACTGTTATTTTCTCAGAATCCTCCAATAGATGGTTCTTAATTTTCAATAGGATTCAATAGTTATCTCCATTTGCACAAATATATAGCAATTCAAAATTTTCCCTACGTGAATTAAATAATCATTCTGACTTATAACACTTGACTATTTACTAATTCTACAAATAGTTGTTTATATATTTGAAGCAAAGGTTGACAATTTAAAAATTCTCCCCTCTGATTTATTTGCTTTAAAAAGTTGTAACTGGCTCTTTCCCCCACATCTCCTCACATTATAAATAAATAAATAAATAATCCACAAAGTAAATCCATTTTCAAGACAGAAATTAAACTTGAATTTTTAGTGTAGTATGATTATAGGTGAATAAATACCTATATTTACTCTGAAACTCTTGATGATGAATTTTGCCTTCTTGCTTTTGAATCATTCCCAATTACTTTATTGGCTATTAAGTGGTTGTATTTTGGCCTAAATTATTTTTATCTCAGCTAAAACAGATACAGAAAGCTAAGGTCTCCAATAATTTTTTTTTTTTGTTATTGTTGTTGAATGTTCTATAATATCTGCTCTACTAAGTATACTGTCTTCAAAAAATACTTACCAATAAATTTAGACTCAATACCTATAAAATTTAACACATGATAAAGCCTAGCTAATGCCTGCTTGCACTGTTATAGAGTTAGGGGGTTATCTATTCCATGTCTAAAGGAAAGTCAAGAATAACAATAATAATTTCATTATAAATACTTTCTTTCACTTTTTAGGGTCCAGGTAAAAAAATGTTAACCATGGTTGTCAATAACAGAAATCTCATTCTATAATCACCAGATAGAGGTATTTATGTCAAGGGGGATGTGGGGGGACAAGGAGGTGGACTTACCTTCCAGAAGGTCTCTGGCCAGACCAGGTTCTGCCCCTGTGGACCGAACAAAGTCTGATAGGACTGCGTCCATATCAAGAGTCATATGATCATGTAGAAGTGCTGCCCAGCACTCAGCCGAGGTGGGGTTTGGAAGCAGGCTAGAAACCATCCATCTGCAGGTAGGAAGGGAAAAGCCTCTTACCATGTGTTATAGACTGAATTGTGTCCTCTCAAAAAATTTATTGAAATTCTAACCTTGGTACCTGTAAATATGACCCTGTTTGGAAATAGTTTGTTATAATCATCAGGTCATACAAGAGCAAGGGGAGTCCTATACCTAATCACTTCTGAGTTATAAAAAAGAGCAGGACAGACACAGAGACAGACACAAGAAGACAAATGCCAAAAAACACCAAAGAATATCAGGGATTGATGGCATAAATCGGAAACTAGGGCAGAGGCTCACAGAAGGAAAGAGCATGCCCAAGACTCTAATTTGAACTTCTACCCACTAAGACTGTGAGAAAGTAAGTTTCTTTTATGTAAAGCAAACCACTTATGGTATTTCTTTTATGGTAACCTTAGGAGACCAAGGTACCACGTGATGGAGATGGAATTGTGAATGAATGATGGTATATGCAGTGACCCAACAGAAGGAAGGAACCACTTTTCCCTGTTATATTTCCACACTGGTTTGGGACTACTGTCTTATTTTTCATGCAAGACATTAAATAATAAAAGTCAAACTAAAATATTATCCTTTTATATATAGCACAGGTCATCACCAACTCCAGTGGTTTGACCTTACATTTTGTTAATTCAAATATCAATTGAACTGAAAAAAATGTAGATTAATTAAAAAACAAACAAACAAACAAAAACCCAACACATGAGTATACCAAAAAAAAAAAAAAACCAACTCACTGCCATTGTGTCAATTTGATTCATAGTGACCCCTCCTTGGGTTTCCAAGTCTGTATCTCTGTAGAAGTAGATTGACTAATCTTCCTTCCAAGGAATGGCTGGTAGGTTTGAACCACCAGCATTCTGGTTAGTAGTCAAATGCCTTAGGCACTATGGCACCAAGTATACCAAGTATACTTGAGTATACCAAGACAGTTTAATTTGGAATCACAAGATTTATAAACTTTTTTCAAGTTACCCTGGAGTCAAAATACTGTAACACATCCACAATGTACTGGAGTCTCCTGATATACCCCAATTATACCTTATTAGTTAGCCATCCTGTCTCCTCAGCCCTCTTACCCCTCACTTGGCACTTAGGAAAAACTCCAGGTTAACTGGCTTCATAGTTGATTTAATATGAAACTTGCTGAAGATGACCACTAAACTCCCTGTAATCTCTCTATAGGAATTGTCATATTCAAAGCAATAATCAAACAAAATCATAAGACAATCATATTTCCTAGGCAGAAAATACCTGTCAGAAGGATGTAACGGACATCTGGCAGCTTGATCACAAGCTGATTATTCTCCCCAACCCCTGGATTTCTGGGGGAAATGATCACATCTGTCCATGAGAATGACTCATACTGATGAAATAAATAGTGTTGGAGACCTTGGAGAACACTCAGTCATGGTTGGCAAAAATGCAAATGAATTCTTGTGTTTGTAGTAGTGATAAGGGATCAGTAAACTATAGCCCATCAGCCAAATCTGGCCTATCACCTTTTTTTTTTTTTTTTTGTAAATAAAGTTTTATTGGAACACAGCCACACCTATTCATCTATGGATTATCTGTGGCTGCTTTTGTGCTTGGATGAGTTGATTAGTTGCAAAAGAGACTATTGGGTCTACAGGGATGAAAATATTTACCATTTGGCTCTTTAGAGAAAACATTGCTGACCTTAGATGATGAATGTAATAGTTGAGGCTGTGTGTCAACTTGCTGGAGCACAATTCTGAGTAGTTTAAGTGGTTGTGATGTGGTTATTTCCATGATGAGATTGGAGGTACATGGTTTGAGCAGCCAATCCACTGAAAGGGAGTTTTCTTAGGGGTGTGGTCTGCTTCCAATATGCATATGGACATCCTGGGAAAAAAGGGTCTCTTCTGTGGATCTGGATCCTGTTGTGCTGCCTACAGCTATCTGTAAGTGAGCAATCCACCATTCAGCCTGGTGATCTTGGATTCATCGTCTGGTATGCTGCCTGCCAACCTTGAGCTCATCAGCCCCTGCAGCTGCGTGAGTTGGGAAAAGTTCCAATTTGACGTTTGGTCCAGGAACTTGGGACTTGCCTGTATGTGAGCCATTTTCCTAAGATAAATCTTTCTCTCTCTCTCAGATTTACTGGTTTTGCTTCTTTAGAGAACCCAGCCTAACACAATGAAAATCCATATACTATCAAGCATGTAATATCAAAAACCCTTCACTAACAAGTCAATTCTGACTTACATTGACCTTATAAGACAAAGTAGAACTGCTCTCCAAGGTGGTAATCATTATGAAAGCAGACTGCCCTATCTTTCTCTTGCAGCACAGCTGGTAGGTTAGAACCGCTGATCTTTCACTTGCCACCAGGGCTCCTTCAGCAAGTAGGTAACAAAATAAATAAATAAAATTCAAAGAAGTCTGAAAAAGATCCAGTGGAAACATGTTTCCCTGCTCACTGGCTGATGAGAAAGGCAGGTCCTTTTCTTTGATTTTTCATCTCTTTATTTGAAAGCAAACATGATTGAGCACATAAAAAGTTGAGTTCTTAAATTAGAAAACTTCGGAGAGTTAGAAAGAGTTGTTTTAAAAAAACCCACTACCACCAAGTTGATTCTGAGATGAGTTTTCAAGGCAGCAAATCTTTGTGATAGTAAATTGCTTCATCTTCCTTCTGCAGAGTGGCTGGTGGGTTTGAAGCACCAGCCTTCTGGTTAGCAATCAAATGGCTTAGGCATTGTGCCACCAGAGCTTCTTCCTCTCTTTATTGGACAACAGTATTTAGAAATCAAGATCTGGGCTCTGGCTATGCTCATTGTTACTGGGGTGTCACTGCTTCTAGGTCCTATCAGTAGACAGAAAGTGTAGTTATATTTCCCTTTTACCCTCACAGAGTCAGACATACTGAGAGAGATCTTTTAAACTGATTAATTAAAGTAATAATTGAGTTTGGACTGTAAAAATTCAGAGCTTCCTACATGTGGTATATCCATAAAGCCCTGTGACTATCTTGCAGTGCAGCCTGAGAAACCAGTACAAATACTGCTGTCTTCAAACAGGGCTTTCCATTTCAAAGTGGTTTAGAGGAGTAGCTAGAAGCATCTTCCAATGATACTGCTAAAATTCAGAATATTTTTAAAGAGATATTCTGGAACAGTTTTCAGAATGTATGGCATGTTATTTTGGCGTACTTTGTTTAAAAATGAGCATTTTTGAAGGAAGATTTGAATATGTGGTGCCTCAGAGCTGAAATAGGAGGTGTAAGGCAGATATTGAGAGTTCAAAGGGCTGTCTTGGCAAAGCCATGTTTGTACCAGTAGCAGGACCACTGACATATGATTTCAATTGCTACATGTGGCCAATCATAATACAGTCCCCCTCCCCAAAGGTGCTGTCTTGGCCCAGTTTGAGGCACTGGTCAGTTTGCCTTTGTAAGTACCTGATTATGCAAACACTCCAGCCACTCTCCTTATTGGGCTCTTATGCTTGGGGACCATTATACATCCATACTAATTGCTTCTGGCCAGGTACCAAACACCTAGGGATAGCTCCTATACCCTGGAGCCTGCACCATAGAGATCCCCAGAAATCCAGTAAATCCACCCTTTTTGCCATATATAAACTGTTTACTATAATTTCAGTGTGCTGTTACATTGTCTCCACTGTAACCCTCAGTGTGGCCCTACATGACAGCCTTCTCTTATTTGGGACTGTAAGTATTGCATCTGCCTTTCATTTATCCATGTGTCTTGTATCCTGCCATCAAAAGAACCCATACCTTTTCCTTTTTTTCTAAATTTTATTTTGTTGTTGTTGTTGAGAATATGCACAACAAAACAAACACCAATTCAACAGTTTCTACACATACAATTTGGTGACACTGATTACATTCATTGAGCTGTGTAACTATTTTCATGCTCCTTTTCTGCATTGTTTCTCCATCATTAACATAAACTCACTGTCCCCTAAAGTTATTATCTTTCAAGTTGCTGTTGTCAATTTGATGCCATATAGATCATTCTTAAAAGAGCAAGGCAGACTTCTTCTTTTTTTTTCTTTTTTACCAGTTAACTAAACAACTGCTTGGTTTTAAGATGACTTCAAGGGAATTTTTAAAGTTTAAAGATTACCTCAGGCAATAGTTTCAGGGATTTACCTACCCTTCGTGGCTTCAGAAAGTATACAGTCCATGAAAATTTGAAATCCTACTCTGCATTTCCCCCTTTTTGATCAGAATTATTCTGTGGAATCTTTGATCAAAATGCAAAGAATCCATATCTTATATATTAGGATGTCTATGATTTAAAAAGGCAGAAAGAAGAGATGTTGGTGAGTACATGGAGAAATTGAAACCCTCATCCATTGCCGAGAGGAATACAATATGGTATAGTAGCTGTAGAAAACAACATTTTGGAGGTTCCTCAAAAAGCTAAACATAGAATTACCATATGATTCAACATTTAAAATTTTAAGTATATATTCAAAAGAACTGAAAGCAGGAATATAAACAGATACTTGTGCACCTGTGTTTACTGCATCACTATTCACCACAGCCAAAAAAGTGGAAACAGCCTAACTGTCCATCAGTGGATAGATAAGTGGATAAACAAAATGTGGTATATACATAAAAGAGAAATAAAGTCTAGATACATGTTATGATATGAATAAACATTAAAAGCATTATGCTGAATGAAACAAATCAGTACCAAAAGGTCAAATATTGTATCAGCCTACTTATATGAAATATCTAGAATAAATAAGTATCTAGAGATCCTACCAGGGGTGGGAGGAAGGGAGGGAGAAAGAAGGATTCAGTGCTTAGGGATACTGAAATTCTGTTAAGGGTGATGTTCTAATTTGAAAATGGATAAGGATGATGGTTGAACAACATGATGAACATGATTAATATCACTGAACTGTACATGTGAAGACTGTTTAAATGCCTAATGTTTTGTTATATATACATTTGCTACAACGAAAACCCTATATCTCATATA